CGCTGCCGAGCGGCTCTCTGAGCCTGGATACTGCCGTTGTCCCCTCCTCCAAGGGCTCACCACGTACACACCCTGGGCTTGGCCGCGTGGGAGGTGGGCCAGCAGAGCAGGAACCCATAAGCCTCCTCTCGGCGGTTACTTCTCACAAGGGTTAGGTAATGGTTGGGAGGCGAAAGGCTTCTGTAAATACCGAGTCATTTTCACTAGTGTTTGCAAGGACAAGGTTTGTTCTGGGCCTAGATAACCACGTTTATGGTGGTGATCACGAGGCCAAGGGCTCACGCTGGAAGCAGTAGGATGGTCCAGCCCAGGACCTCATTCGAACAGCCTGGAATGATTCACACTTGCTTATACCATATTGACCTGCCCACTCCAGCGACATCCGCTCCTTCCTTGCAGCTCTTCAGCTGTGGTCTGGCTAATGTCCTCTCCCAAAACCAAGCTACAGCTAAGCCTTGGCTTCCCACGCAGCAAGTAGAGTGCTCTGGTCTCCGATCCAGACCCCCTCTACTTCTTTGCTTGAGGTGGAGGCAGCAAGAAGAGCTTCCACTCCCACTTCCCACTGCCACGCAGACCTGTGCTGCCCCACGAGCTGCTCTGCAGCTGGCGATCGTCTTACTGTGCAAACCAGGCACAACTGCCTTCTGTGGCAGGGGGAAAAGGTGGCTGAGGGACCAGGGAAATGGGCGTCACGTTAAAGAGGGCAGAATCTCCTGTGACTGTCGGCAGTCGCTGCTGATACAGGACAAGGTGCACGGGGCGGCACGCCAAGGCAGCTCCCAGCTTCACGCCCCAAGGCGAGCATGGGGCCATCCAGCAGCTCAGCTCCCAGTGCCAGGAGACCAGCCCACGTCCCACCACTCCCAGCCTGGCTAATGGGGGCTGTTTGACCACCAGCCCTGGGGTTTGTGCGATGTGCTGCTTCCCACAGAGAGGCCGGGGCTCAGCCCTGCACGCAGCCGACTGCAACACGCTGAAACACCCCTGGCAAGTCATTTATGTGCTGCTGCCAGCCTGCCTCATGCCCTGAGTTCAGAGGTCTCTATTTGTCTCTATTTTTACACAACTTCACAACTGCTCCATTCATTCTTCCCTTGAGTGACACCTGCGCAAACATAAATTAAAGATACTGGGAGGTTAAAGCCATCTTTGAAAGATACTGGAGCACAGTGGTACTCCCGTGCACTAGAGCTTACAGATTGTCTATCCTGGGAGCTATTCGAAATTTGATCAGTTTATTCAGCATCTTGTCCCATCTAAGTGGCCCTGCTTTGAGTAAGGGAATTGGGATCAGAAACATCCAGAAATCCCAGCCTGACTGCTTCTCTTACCTTCCAGCTGTAAACAGAGCATCCAGCATCAACAGCCATACCACAAAAGGACTCGCCGACTCCAACGGTTTTCTGTCCTGACACTGGTTACGAGGGTTGATGACCACATGAGGTCTTGCTTTTAGCAAGAGATACCAGTTTTAAGTGTGGACCAAGCAGGTGACATTAAAGCTGCCCCATAGCCAAGTCTGCAGATATTTATTGCTGCAGAAAGAAGTAGATCTACCTCCTCCCACCAGAACAGTCTTGCTGGAGGACAGATTTATTAAAACCACAGGGAGTTTCGTAGGATTAGCTTTGCCATAAACATTCTAAATTCAAAGCTATTAGGGATTACGGAAAAAAGTTGCCTGTCAAAATCCTTTCAACAAACTCACTGACAGATGGAAGGTACACCTGTGGAGAAAGCAGATTCCTCCAGGGAGCTCGCAGGGAACTTATCAAAGCAGAAAGGGAGCCTCGTTAACCACGTAACTGCTTGCTAGCAGCACCCAGGCTCCCAGTAAGGTAGAGCAGTGCAGAGAAATGGCAAAGGTGGAATATGGCTGGAGGCAGGGACCGCATGCCTCAGCGCTAGGAGAGGGAAGGGACGAGGCTGCAGCCCCGCATGCATCTCAGTTTGCAGCTGAGCTCAGGGAGGAAGAAAGGAAAACCCTCTGGCACTTGCATTCCCAGCAGGAAGAAAATGTAAGATGCCCAGGACACTAAATATCGGACAGCCAGGGTACACTTACCTGCCTTACTCAGAGAGCCGCTGGCAGGTGGAAGAGATGTATCCCAGGTTAAGCTGCCTTTGAGAACTGCCATCATCCCTGCCTGCTGGTGTGCCCAGAACCTGCCCGCCATGTCTCAGCGCTACACCGCTGCGGGCTTGCCTGCCTACTGCACTGCTGAAGGCCTTCGCGTGATCTGCCACGACACACGTCGCACTGCAGCACGGGAGTGCACAGTCACCATCACGCCACTTTTGCTAGCGGTGCTGTAGGGGGGAACACCCCCAGCAGAAGATCGTCCAGAAACCGCTGCAGCAACTCGTCAAGTGGATGCAGGTCGGTGCCTTCGCTGCAAGCCTGTGCTGGCCAACCAAATGCTGATTTTTCCTTACACAGCAGGGTGCCAACACAAAGTGAGTTCAGTCAAGCCAGAGGCGAAACAGCAAGCTCCAGCATACTTAATTTATAGCATTGCATTGAACGCCTCTGATGTTAACATCAATACGGCAATATCCTGCATCAGGCCTGGAACAGATTGCAGCGGTCATGTTACAAGCCCTTTCGGAGAATTTTTGCTAATGTTTGTTACCAGCATCCAGTTTAATATTATCAGAACCCTCCCCCTTCTTAACTCAGACCCTGGAGGGGTCTCACCTCCCTTAAGAAGGGCAGCACGCTCACACACAGACCAACCCTACAAGCATTAGGTCACCTTATGCCATTCCCAGCACTGTTATATGGAGTTTGAGACTTCAAAGATCCAAAGCAAAATCTCCACTTGGCATCAAGAGGGCTTGGCAGGAGCACAAAGCCACCAGCCTCTGGCTGGAAGTCTACCTGCTTTCTGGGAAGCTCAGTCATTTCGGAGTTTTACTTCCTTAGTTGACAGCAGAGAAAAGCAGAACTGCAAATCTCAGTAACGGTCAAGCCTTTGTTTCACCCTTGTGCCCCTGCAGATCAGAGGGGTGGGAGGAGAGCAGGAGATGCACGCAGTTGAAATGGAGTCAAGCCTTGCACACAGCACAAACAGCCAAGCGCAAAGAGCTAGCCCCAAAGTTTCCAGCTCATGCAGCTGGAAACTTCATAGAAGCAAGTCTTTTAGCTATTTTGGGAAACAAACAAACAAAAAACAACAAAAAAGATCTTTTTCACCTTCCTTTCTGTTTCTTCCCCCTGAAGAAGCCCAGCCTGCAAGCCCAGCCACCAGACTGGCTCTTCATCGACGCAGAGCAGCAGGAGACCTCAGCTGCAGCGCCTCTCATTTCCCTGCTAGTCTGCAGGCCTCTCACTTGTGAGAGCTTCCCCCAAGCCTGGTCACAGCACAGGACACACGTGCCAGGAGCCAGATCCTTCGCACGCTGCAGGCAGCCCCACGCTCGGCAGAAGCCCTGCCTAAGGGCAGAAGACGAGGAGAAGACACCTAGCCAGGGAGCGCAGGTCTGCTGCGGGCTTGGCGTGGAGCACTCCCCACCGACAGGCTTTGGCTTGGAGGCACGCTCCACCACCAAGCTTGAGGGTGCTGCCAAGTTCCAGTCTCCCCCGTTCCCACAGCCTTTGAGGGTGCAGTGTCTGCACCACCAAGACTCAAGTGCCCTAAAGCCACAGGGATAGCCCAACAGTTCCTGTTGGCCAAAAACTACTGGAAGTTTACGGTTTCTGCTGCTTGAGAGTCCAGAGGTTTGTACAAATCAAAGCCCTCTGATTGGCAAAGCTCTTCAGAGGCAGCAAGACCTCATAGAAGGTTCTCCTGATGTCTCTACTACAGCTGCAAGCTCTGACTCAGCACTCTGCTCAAAACCTGGCAGGCTCCTGCCATACCCATGCATCACACTGCAGCCAGGGGAAGGCTGAGTCTCACACGGAGAAGCCAGGGAGCATGCAAAACTGTACCTGCCCCTAACGTCAAGGTCCGTGCTCTCCAAAAGCCCAAGATTGGTCCTACTGCACCTTCTTTGCAGAAGCATGCTAATTAGCAGGCTTTTTTGAGACCTACACGGGAGGTTTGCTCTCAGCCAGCGGCAGGTTAGTTTGCTTATGGGGCTTATTCCAGGTGTCTCATCCTCCACTGCTCAGCTTGCATTAGTAGGTTTGAAG